ATCACATTTGCCTTTCTGAATGAGGATTGATCATCTTACCCGGGGTCCTCCTTCTTGCTTAGCTGCTTTAGGTGTACAGATTTTAGTATGATTATCTTATATTATATGTCTAATATCCACTTATAAGTAAGTATATACCATATGTGTCTTTCTGCCTTTGGGATACCTCACTCAGGCTGATCTTTGCTAGGTCCCACCATTTGCCTGCAAATTTCATGATTTCCTTGTGTTTAATTGCTGAGTAGGAGTCTATTGTGTAAATGTACTTGGTACATATTTCTACTAGGTGATTTGTTCTTTAAAAACTGGAGCTTCAGAAATGGCTATGATTATGAAGTTATGCAGTCTTTAATCACGTCAGGTCCCTAACAAATAAACATTTTAAAATCACGTGTTATATGAATTCAAAGGCAACTTTAAAAATTTCTTTTGAGACGAACATTAATTGGAACCCCCGAAGCATATCCTAGGGTTTCTTTGAACGTTGTTTGAAAATCATGTGTATGAGCTTCTCTTCTCAGGTGTGGCTCTGGCTTAGTAGTAAATGTAATTCCCAGTGGCGAGACTTTTTCACACAGCAGCTTAGCACTCATCCGACTGCCAGACCAGAGCTCCATCGGCATCTTACATATGGCCCTTTCCTTCAGCACGGGGACCTGCAGCACAGGAGTGAAGCAACCGTGTTCCAGTCTCTTTCTCCTGCATCCGCTCAGCCAAACGGTTCTAGGATCCCACGATTTCAGGAACAGCCTCTCTGCTCCAGATGACACTCACCTTTCCCTTTGTCATTCGTGAGCTCGGTCCATTCCATTAATTCTTCTCCAGGGTTCACACTGCCCTGCTCAGGCCAGCATCCTTAAAGGAAACCGGGTGTCCTGGTGAGGAAGGAAAGGGCCCTGCATCTTCAGCGGGAGCTCTGGAGCCTGGTGCCTCTGAACCTGAGCTATGCAATTAGGAGCAGGTTATCTTGCTAACCATTTTCTCATCTGCAAATATTCATGTCCACCCTATGTGATTGAAGATGACTCAATTATTTAAATTATTTAAATGTTTGTTGTGCTCATTGTTAAAGCAAAGAGTGGTCTTTATTTACATGCGTGTGTGTGTGTGTGTGTGTGTGTGTGTGTAGGTGTGTGTAGGTCAAAGAACAATTAAACAACTTGTGAGTTTATTTTCTCCCATTGTGTGGGTCCCAAGGATTGAACTCAGGTCATCAGGCATGGTGGCAAGCACTTTGCTCACTAAACCATTACCACCCACCCAAGAATGGGCTTTAGATAAGTTATGTGGAGCTTTTCTTTGGGGGCCAGATCTTAGAAGGAACCTGCTTGTGGACTGAGGAAGTTTTGTTGTTCAGATTTGTTTGCACCTCATCAATAACCACCATTGAGGTTTGGAATTATTGTGCCTGTGCCCCTTTCTTTCCTACATTCTTTTGAGTTGTACATACTCATAGAAACGGATCTGATTCTTTTAGACAACTGTCCACTACGTCAAGTACCCACGCTTGCAGATGTACATGATTTCAGAATCTGTACGGCTCAGATCCTAAAATGTTTGGAACAAACAGTGAAAGAGCGACAGGGCCTCTTGATTATCAAGACTTCCCCGTGGTGTGGTGCATCTGCCAATTTTATGATCCATGAGCAGAAGTCAGGACAGGGCCTCAAAAGTGTTCATGGCCTGAGTTCCCTGTGTGCACGCATCTTTTCTCTGGGGAACAGGAAGAGAGCAGACACCACAGTAAGTCACAGATCACTGCTTTTCTTCTCGAGACCCCCTCCACAAAGGGAGACATCTTTAACTTTACTTTTCTCTATCATGTGGGTCTTTTAGAAGTAGCATCCTTTAAAAGATGACAAGCATCTGGTCATAGTAATCATAAACTACAGGCTTCATGTACCAGTCTCTATGAACGTAGTTTTTGGTAATTCATAGAGAGCAACCCAGCCTCTGTACTTTCATTTTCACATCTTTTCTTTAGGCCCAAGTACTTGGGGAGTAAAACTTGATCCATCAAGTGTTTTCCTCACTTGTCTGGAATACTTGTATCATTAGCTACATTTATGCCTCCTCAACACAGTACAATGCTGTAATATTCCCGAGACAGACAGAATGAAGCCCAGGTCGGCAGGGCCATGCAGGCTCCTGTCACAGCAGCACGGCTGGCCCGTTGCTTCCCGCGTGCCCTGCTGAAGGCCCGTGATGTTCAGGCTTCACTAGCACTGCTGGGCTTCTTTTTTTGTAAGTCTTCCGACAACCTTCCCAGAAGGCACTTTCATGTTCCACCAGCGTCCTTTCAGTGTGGTCGCCCTCTCTCAAGGTGGGATTTTCCTCAGTGTTTAATCTTTCCTAGTCTTCTGGAAGGTTAAACATGTTTGTAGATAAGAGGCACAACATGGGAGCAATTTCCAAAATGTGTAACCGTTCACTTTGAATTATTCCTTCTGAAGGGATGGGGGCACACAGGTAATAAACACGCCTATTACTGTGTTGTGACTGAGTAGGATACACTGGGGAAAGGATTTATGAAAGTCCTGCAAGGAAGGTGAGGGAAGGGCAGGTGTGACTACACCACCAGTAGCCTCCCAGGAGGAAGCAGCTGAGTAGGGAACTTGCGTTAGTGACTTGCTCTGCAGACTGTCATGGTTTCCTTTGCTTAGGTTACCCCTTGGTGATACTCCAGGCCGCATGGGTCTTCAGAGGTGTCCCCATACGCCCATCCGTGGTCTAGTGAACTTTACCTCAGCTATCTTAGCCTCACCATGATGATACAGCCAGGGAAAGCGCTTCTGACTGCTTCTGGGTGGGAATGTCAGAGTTCTTCACTTTTGTTGACCTCGGGCCACTGGAATGCCGTCAGCATCACTGCTTTAGAGAAAACACATTCCGCCATTCAGTTAAGTACAGCTAGGGCTGCTGTGATGTGCCAGGCACTGTCCTGCACTCCTGACATACACCAACTTTAGAAATGGAGGTTAGTGTCCTCGTGAAGCTGACCCTGGAGTCAGAAGAAGAGATTATTCAGGGCTTTGATAATGCATTGAGACATATTATATAATACTTGCTTCATCTGCTAAGGCTGCCGTAACGAAGCACTGTAGTCTGGGTGTCTTGCACAGCATATGTTTATTTCTGAGGGTTTTGGAGGCCTGAATCCCGGCATCAAGCTGTCAGCAGGTTTGATTTCTCCTGAGACCTCTCTGCTCAGTCTGTAGGTGGCTTCTTTCCTATGTCCTCACTTGACCTTTCCCCCATGTAGAGACATCTGTGGTGTTTCTCTTCATAAGAAGAGAAGTAGACAAAATAGTTCTTAGAACCACTGACACTGGATTATGACCCTATCTTCATGCTTCGTTGAACTAACTTCGGTGTCTCCTTAAAGCCCTAATGCAAATATACTCACATTGGAAAGTTGGAGCTTCAACTTTCATAGGGATTGGGGGAGGGGCACAATTCTGTTCTTAACAGTGTGCCAATAAATGGTAAGAATTTATGTTTGGGAGAATAAAAAGATTAGAGCAGAGTGAGGAAGATGGGGAGACGGTCAGGTGAGGGCCGTTGTCTTAAACAGGAAAGTTGGTGTAGTCGTCACTGAGCATGTGGTATTTGAATCAAGGCTTTAAAGCTTGGTTTTGTTACCATACAAGGTTCCAGATAGAGATGCAGTGTGCTGGAGGAAGTCAGGGACACAGGGACCAGGGTTCTAGTCCCAGCTCTGCACAGTTGTAATTGTGAGACCTGGAGACGTTCCTTTAGCCCTCATGGGCCCCGTTTGCAAATATGCTAAGCCCTTCAAACTGATGTTCTATAGTAAGCATCATCTCTGCCCAGATGGGAAAGGCACTGTAGCTGTTTGTGTTGGGGGCTAATTTTCTTGTTCTTGCTTGTGAAGATGGAATGGGCTAGGCTCTTTCTAAGAAGAGCCGCTAGTAATGCAGGTTGGGATGAAAACCAACCAACCAACAAACATATGCTGTGTGGCACAGCCACCGTTGGTGCCACATGGGTCTTTGAGGGGGGTGGGAGGGGTAGTGTGGTGGGGGAGCTGCTCCTGCCCTGTAGCTTTTTCTGTGTGGTGTGCCCAGGGGAAAGGCCAGGCACAGAGTAGCCAGCTCACAGAAACCACCCATGACAAGCTGGTTAGATGTGTTCTGACTATGAGCTCCATACCGGCTGCCCATGGTTTCAAAAAATTTCAAAAAGGACATTAGTGGACAAATTTGGAATTTGGGTCATAGCCACATGAATTTCTTAGTTCCAATGATTGCATGGTGATGAGCTATAGGTAAGATGCAACCTTTAGGGAATGCAGGGCAATCTCTGTGGAAGCTATTAGAACTGTCCTTGCAGCGCTTCTGTAAATCTAAAAACAAACAAACAAACCCAAAGCCCATTTCGTATGTGAAGATGACCTAGGCTGTATTCGTGAGTTTACTCGTGACAATAGGAACCATGTGGCCTTTGTGCGTGGGTTGGTAGTGTCCATTGATAAGGAGATGAGAATAGTGTATCTCTAGTTCTGCTTTTCTTCGGGCAGATTCTCCATTAATGCTTATCCACCCGCTGCAGAGTTTTAGTTTTAGATACTGCTGCTTACTCCTGATTTTTATTTCAATATTTGACAGTAGAATGATTTCGTGAGCCATTGTTTAATGATAGAATTATCTTGAGAATGTGCTAAGAGGCAGGGAGGCAACAGCGTGCCCATGAAAACGTGTGGAGAAAGAAAGGCGATAATGCTCACGTGCTTTGCAAATACAGCGCTTTAAAACACTCCAGGTTTAGGCTGTGCTGAAGCCGGTGCCCAGCTGTGGCTACAGTTCGTGGGGTGCACTGTATATAGGTACAGGATGTGCTCAGGGCCTGGCTTTTGGATCACTTTGCGACTCCTGCGGCCCTTAAGCACACGGTGACGCGTGGGGCAACTTAGAAGAGGAATACATATATATCCCCTTCTCTTTCTCTCTCTCTTCTTTCCTACTCTTATGTTTTGACAGCTGCAAACCAGAAGGAGCCTATGAATCTTAATTTTAAAGTGAAGGAGGAGCCCAAGGAAGAGGAGCCGCTAAGTACGCCTTTGCCTCGGTCCAGCTACGTGTTTAGCCCGGAACCGGAAGTGGCGGCCCCTAACGTCTCCGAGGACCCACTATCACCCCAGGACGGCAAGGGGAGTGTGCTGAGGCGGGACATGTCGGCCAAAGCTGCCTCGGAACTTCTCATGAAACTCTCAGGTAACCCATATGTTCTAAAATCTTTCCATTCTGGTCATTTCATGTGTAAGCCAACTGGACCGTTTCTCGCTTGGCTTATAATTTACTCGATGGTGACGATAGTGTGAAAAAGACGAATTTAAGGAACGATCAGATCGCTTGGCTTCAGTGCCCGTGTTAGATGCGTGAGTTTGTTCGTTTCTGTCTATCTGTGCTGTACTTAGCTAGACGATGGCTTCAGCCCTTGTGTTAGACATGTGTTTGCTCATTTCCTTTTCTTGCTGTACCTGTCGTAGGTACGGCCTTCTCTTTCTGGATATTATTAGAAATGGTTAGAAAACACTACCAGCATCTGAGATGACCTAGACCACGGCTTCAAACGGATTCTAATAACGTTCTCAGGATTCCTTCCAATTGATCAAAATATCTTTTCTTAAGAGAGGATCCTTCCATCTTTCGTGCATTTATACTATAGTCTTTAAGGACCATTAAAATATCTTTGGCTTGGTGAGAAGTTGAGGTGGCATTCAAAGTGTTTACCAACAGAGTAGCAGCGAGCAATTGTAAGAATAGAGGACTTCCTGATTATTGTTACGATAATTAACCTTTTCTTAAGATGAATGGGTGACTCTACTGATATCTGCATGTATCTTAACGTATTGGATATAAGAAAAAAAAATAATCTGGCTGTAAATTGAAGCTAGTGTATTTTCAATTTTTGGTAGAAGTATCTTCCTGGTTTTCTGCAACAGGTAGAAAATACAGTGTCTTTTTGGTGGCAGGGTATGACTTTCAGAACATGGAAGAAAAAGCCAGACTGCTAATCATACCTGTCAAGTTGTAGCTGTACTTATTTCACTGACTCCTGAAGGTAGTTTTTAGGAACTGTGTTTGAAATGCTAATATGAATCAAAAGCTGTTTTTCCTTGGGAACTTGCTGTGCTTGGAGGATGAAAGCAAGAACTGCCTTAGCAGGACTCCTCTGTGATCTATAATTTCATCAGCAATTCTGGTTGACTAGTAGGTTGGAAGGTAAGAAATTAATAGTGATTTACTTGGAGTCAGCCCATCAGAACAGTTGAAATTCCTGTATCTGTCATTTGGTGGGGTTAAGAATTCTTGTCTTTGATGTTAATTCAAAGCACACTGGAATTTGAGGGAAACATGATTTGCTAGCAATAAAGCGTGATGGAGTAACTGTGGTCTTATTGTAACTCCATCTCCCCGGATGGTGTCGTAGGGTATTGTACACCGATGGAGCTGTGGCAACAGCCCAGGCTGGGAAGGTGAAACATCATGTTTGAGCCAATATGTCTGTCTGTCTTCCTCCTGGGGCAAAGTACTTCAGTGATGTAGTCATCCATCCTTTTTTCCTGCTGCTTAGTCAATTCTAAGAGGTCACCCAGCTCTGTTTCTTCTCCCAGAAGTATCTCTCCCCATACAAGGGCCTAAACTCTGCATTCCCAGTGATTGCTGGGCCCTTTCTGATGGTAGATTCTGCCGAGCAATAGCATCATTTCAGGATTTACTGTGTGTCTGGTATGGAAAGCAGAGGAGGCTGGTACCACACAGAAAGAGGCTATGAGAGTGGTGAATGACATTTCTGGACAGATGTTCTTTAAGGAAAATGTTTTATCTTGATCCTTTGGGATGATATGATTTGAGAGACTGAAATAGGAAATTGTTTTTTAGATAATGATGAGACCCCCTGCCCCCCATGATGCTGTGAACATCTAATATTTGTGGGCAGTGAGGGCTTCTGAGTGCGTGTTATTGAGTGCATGCTCAGTGGGATAGCTGAGCGGATGGCATGGTCCCGTTTCTTAAGGGCCACCATCATCCTTCATTATGTGGACATAAGCTGGCACGGAGACTGATAACTATTTCCTTTTTTTTTTTTCCTCCTGAAAAACAAATCGTATGTACATGAGACTCTGGTCAAGGATGTGTGCATCAAACCCCTGCATCTCTGTGTTCGCATCAATAGTCTTTGAGTGTATTAATCGTTTTTTGGTTTTTTGGGTTTTTTTTTTTTTTTTTGGTTTTTTTTTTTGGTTTTCGAGACAGGGTTTTTCTATGTAGCCCTGCCTGTCCTGGAACTCACTGTGTAGACCAGGCTGGCCTCAAACTCAGAGATCCACCTGTCTCTGCTTGGGATTAAAGGTATGCACCACTACCAGCTAGCACTATTGTTTCTTAATTTCATGAGCAGATAAGATGGCCCTTGAAATAATTACCAATAAAGTAGCAGTAAGACACGTTTAAGGATAGAGAATTTTCTAGTGGAATATTACAGTAAATCACATGCCCTTAAGATGGCTTTAATTCTTTACTCTTAGCTGAATGGAGCCCCTTCTGTCCAGTGTAGGAAAATGAGCCGTGAAATGCATTCAGGGAATCATAGCATTGCAATGCTGTAGCATGCTGTGGTCAGGTGACATTGTTTTAAGTCCTAAGTTAGGTGAGTGGGTTAGAAACAACTATCTTTTCATTCCAAAGCCATGAGGTAAGGGCTTCCTGTTTCTTAGGAGTGAGTGTGGAGAGGAGCATGACGGTAATTCCAGTAGGAGAAAGACTGAGGTAGGAGTGTGAGTTTTGTGTGAGTCCAGCCTAGGCTACATAGGGAGGCCCTGTCATCAAACAAACAAACAAGTAAACATCAGTGTTTCTGTCCACTAATTAAGGCTCTTGCAAAAAGGATGCTAGAAAGTTGTAAGTTCTCTGTCTTCAAGATGGCATTTTAACAGCTTGAACAGTCACACCCTGAAAGTACCCAAGTTAAGAGACTCCTCAAGTCCCTCAGATTCCCTGTAGATGAGAGTAAGTATTTCTTTCCCGAAGCCTCGGGACACACCAGGGCAGCACTGCCTCCAGAGTCCTGTCCTGGGCGTTCCTGTGGACAATTGTCCTCATGTCCTCACAACCTTCGAAATCTCACTTACACTCTCTCATTTTTTGCAAAATCCTTTGGTTAGAGAGAACTGGTGTGAAAGAACTCTAGTGGTACCTTCTTAGCTAGTGGGGGGTATGTGTTGAGGGACCTCAGGTGGATGCCTGGAATTGCAGAGAGCCCTGAAACCTGTAAAGGACCCCCTCATGCATTCCAGCGGTGATCATGCTTAGCTTATGATTAGGCACAGTGAGAGATTAGCAAATACAGAAATTTCTTTTCTTTGGGTTTGTTTGTTTGTTTGTTTTGTTTTTTGAGACTAGGTCTCACTATATAGCCCTGGCCAGCCTGGAACTCCCAGAGACCTGCCTGCCTCTGCCTCTGCAGTGCTAGCTAGCATTAAAGGCATGTTCGCTGCCCCGCCTGGCTACAACAGTGTATTAGAACACAAGCTGCTCAAACTATAAATAGTTTGTTGTGGAATTGTCATGTCCTGTTTTGGGAACACAGTTGACTGAAGTAACTGACAATGTGGAGGATGAAACCTTGGAGAAGAGAGAGAGTATAACAGCAATAACAGTGCATGGGCTATACTTTTCTTTGTTTCTGTTTTGACCCAAAGAATATCTAAAGAATTTTCCTTTGCTCTTTTCTTACTAATTTTCTTATGTAGGTTTTGAGTGAATTAACAAGAAGAAACTAGTCAATGATTTGGGCTCTCTCATTTCCATGTTTAAATTAGCTCGTGTTCATTGCACATGCCTGTATGGCTGGCACCTGGCCCCGCCGCACACCATCACATGAGACCTTTCTATAGAGAAACCTGTGTAGGGAGGGTGCTTTCCAGGGGACACCTGGGTTCTCTGGCGAAAACACACATGAGATAGAGCCAGGCTAACCCTTTCCTGGCTTGTGTGTTTTGAGAATCTGAGGGCTTTTGTTTTTTCCTTCTCTTTTTACTGTGGTTCAGATTCCCTTTTCAGTTGTTAATTATGAAGGCGAGTGCCTGACAGCTGGACTCAGGAAATTGATCACTGTAAAGAAAGCAATCCACTTTGAGGAAGTGACCGGATGTCTGTGCCACCTGTTGTGTGACACACAGCAACCCAAACCGTGAAACTTCCCTGGTGAGCCTGTGCTTGCCAAAGACAATTCTCAGAAGCCTTCATCTAAAGAGGCCATGAGCTGAGTGTTTAGCACTGAGCTATTTAATGTGAGTCGTGGTGGGTGGGCATCAGGGCGCCCTCAGACTGACCTGGCCAGGTGTGGTCACCTTGCAAACTTATGTCCTGAATGTGGTCACAGATGTGGTACTGCCAGAAGCAGCAGCCGTTTACCCCCTGCTGTGCTGTGAGAGCCCTGGGTAGGTGCAAAGAGGTAAGCAGGGGCCTCTTCTCTCTTTGTGAAATTGTTTGTTGAATGGGAATGCCTGTGTAAGGTGTACCACCTACAGTTGGAGAAACGCAAAGGATCAGTTAAGAATGACACTGCAGAATGAGACTTCTGGGGCTGGAGAGATGGCTCAGGGTTAAGAGCATGCACAGAGGACAGGCATCTCCCTTCACCACGCTGAGCAGCTCACAGTCACCTGCAGCTCCAGATGCGGGGAATCTGGTACCACTGTCCTCCACAGGCACCTGTGCTCTCTGCCTGTGTGCACACAGTCAAAAGTCTATGTTTATAAAGGAAAGAATAGGATTGTAGGCTGTGGGAGTGGCTTACTGGGTAGTTTTTGCTATGCGAGCCTGAACACCTGAATTCACATCCCCAGAACACACGTAAAAGGCAGGCATTGCATCTAATGCAATCTAATGCCATCTCTCTAATGCCATCCCTGGGAGGCAAGACGGGAGCATCTCTGGGGCCAGTCAAACCATCATTGAGCTTCAGGTTTGGTGAGTGCTCTTGTCACCAAAACTCAGGTGGACAGTGATGGAAGGCATCAGATGACAGTCTGGCTTCCACACTTGTTTGCATAGCCATGTTTTTATTGACATGAATGTGTTTGTGTTTGTGTATGTGTGTCTTTGGAAGCCAGAAGAACATCAGTCCCCTGGAGCTGGTGAGTGTGAGCCACCCAGAGTGAGTTCTGGGAACTGAGCTGTAACCTTGGCTAGCACTCTTACCCATG